TTTAAATTACTAGGAACCTGCAGGGGTCTTTGAAAAAAGCACCAGGAAAAATAAATCTGCAATGTACTGCAGATGTAAGAGTGATTTTTCTTTCCTATTTGTTTATTAGAATCAGAGCATAAGACATTTTAATGGATTAAAACTGCTCAATTTCTCTAGCCTCAGGGCATACAGGATTTTGAATGTCTGTTCTTAGGCTTGTGTTTATAATTGTGGATGTACACATATTGATTATACTTTTAATACATTAACTGGTTTTAGTATGAGAAAAAAGGAACATTGATTAATTATCTCCAGGGGCGAAAAGTTGCCAGTCACTCTAAGCTGCTAGATGCCATCGCTTTTCAATAGTGATGTGGTCAGAACTATTGATTATTGTTCTTTTTTTAAATCTTAAACCACTTGTGGTCTTAACTAAGATAAGCAACTGTGTTCCATCATTCTTTCAATACAGGTCATGTTTCTAAACCTCACATTTTCCTTACTATCCTGTAAATAATTTGTGTTTGTCTACTTTTTTCTTGACAGATAAAGTATTCCAGACAACTATATAAATGCAAAGTTGAATAATTGCACAATATTCCCATTTTTCTGCCACGCAGGGTGTGTCTTCTTGCATGTAGCTACCTGTGTTTTTTTCTTCTGAATTTAAATTCTGATCTAGAGTTCACAGACCTCCCTAGCCTGGGGCTATCTGTAGATTTATAAATGCACTCTTAGTTCCCCCATCTGCAGACCTGTTCTTGAAAAAGGTGAACAGAATGGCCAGAAGCTGTCTAGGAGAAGCCAGAGCGTGGCACTGCAAGGCCAGTGGCTCCCTCAGGGCCAGGCACTAGGAACCACAGGGGATCCCCCTGGAGCAGGAGGCAGGTCCTGGTAGCTCATTCCATTCCATCCCACCAACCCAGCCATGGGCCAGGCTGGTGATGGCTTCTGGGGCAGCCACAACCCCAGGCACTGGTCACCAGGCCAAGTCTGGGCCAGGGTGTCAGCCTTGGTGTCAGGACTGGCATAGCAGGGCCCATGGCCAGGCAGGACAGATGGAGACCAGCCCCAGTGTGGTGGCACTGGTGCAGGGACTGATGGCCCCGGAGGCTAATGTGGTCCTGGGCTTGGGCAAGGTGAGGGAAGGTCCTAGAGGAGGCCAGGCAGGGACAGTCAGATCCATCGGTGTCCTCAGCCCTGCCAGGCTGCTCTAGGAGGGGACTGCAGGCTGGGAGCCAAGCGTGGCCACAGCACAGTGACCTTGCCAACAGGACACAGTCCTGCAGCATCTTAGCAGGACTGGGACAGTGATATTGACAGTCACAGCAAGGCAGGGAATGAAAACATGTCCAGGATCCAGACAGGAAGAGTAAGAGACACCTGGAGACAAGAATCCAATCTAGGTCTAAGGTCTATCAATAAGACAGGACTGGAGAGAAGACCAGGGACAATGCTGTCTTCCACCTGGATCCACATTATACACAGGAAAACCAGGCAGCAAGACAAGGCTACAGGAAAGAGGCTGGGAATTGGTTCAGCTTTTAAATAGCTTGGGTCAGGTTTGGGTGCCCAGGCCTGAGCTGACCCAAAGCCCCAGAGCTGTCACAAAGAGTGCATACTGCTGGGGTGGGCAGGTTGGCCAGGACAGAGCCCTGATAGAGGGAATTTTAGTGTGATTGCAGACTTCTATCCAGCAAATTGCTTAAACGTGCTAGAAACCATAATGTAAACATCCTCTTGTTTATAACTTTTCAGAGCGAAGCCAATGCCCATAGAAACACCATGTGGCTAGCAACAGTCCTTTTTTCTCCTCAAACTCTGTTCATGTTCCTGGCTCAGAATGTGCAAGCCAAGTCTTGGACCCCAGGAGGAGGTGCATCCAGACGTGCAGCTCTTCCCAGGCTAAAGTTCTGTCCTGTTTCCTTCAGGCTATTGGGCCTTGAATGAGAAGAGTCCCTTGCTTCTCTCATTTATGATCCAAATCCAGAAACCATATATTAAACCGTCCTTATTTATTTTAGAACCTGCTCAGAACACCTTCCATCAGCCTTGCCACTTCTTTGATATGCAGTCCTTTATAGTTTCCATTTTTGATCCCTTAGAAATAGCTGTGCTTCCATTAACACTTTCTGTACTATCAGCACTGCTACAGAGCAGTTGCCGTGCCAAAACTTCTAATGCTAATATCTATGTACAATATCTCCCAGTGAAAGAGTGATAAAACAAATTACCCTTCTTCTAGTTTAAGAGTCTAAAACACAATTATGATCAAGTAACTAATGCAGGATACCCTGTTAGTAAAGGTAAGTAGCACAAGGATGAATTATTATGAATTATTTTAAATTAATATGATTTGGTTTGTGAAAACCTACTGAAGTTACTCCAATCTTGGGATTACTTATCTACCCACCAAAAAAACCTGGGGTTTTTTGTCCATATACAGTGATACATAAAAAAGTTACACTGAAGCTGAAATAAAAATGGGGGAGAGAGGGGTTTCAAGAGAGTACTTACAAGACATCACAACAAATCACCCCAGCAATACTGTCATTAGAGAGGGGATACACATCCCTACTCTCTTCCTGCAAACTAGGTCATGTAATGAGAAGTAAAGACTCCTCTATTGTGCTCCTAGTCATGCTAGGTCATCAAGATTGATTGTGAGAAGAGAGAGATTAAACTGGAAGAGAATTTTAATGCTGCTGCTTTGAGTTTTTAAAAAGTATGGCCTTGTGACTACAGCGGTATAAATCATGGAAACCACAACAGCACGAGAATAAAAAAGAAGGCAAATTCTGCAGATCCTGGCAAAGGCCTCCCTGCAGCATGGGTGGACATTGAGGTGTTGTTTCCAGATCTGGGAAGGATCAGTGGGATTGAATGGATCACACAGTAAGGAACCCTGAGTTTGCACCACAGCCCCCTAGCCCTCAGACATCAGTAAGAATGTGTATCTTGTCTTTGGTCCCCAAAACAAGAAGACAGGCCATACCTCATAAATGCCAGGTGATATTACCCTGGGTGTGTTGGACAACAATGAGGGAGTAGACTAATGAGTAGGTTGTTTTGTGGCTTGTAGCAACTGTGGTAATGTTGCACTTCCTGACTCTGTATTACTATGCCAAACAGCATGTAGTGTGTTTAGCTTCCATGGAGGACAGAATGGGATGGGACAGGACAGGATAGAATAGCAGCCCAGAAGCAGGTGTGCTTCCACACTTCAAAACTGTACTGCTCTGTGGCCTTCTTTTTCATGACATTTGCCATTAGCCCTTGGTTGGAAAAGAATATGGTCCCATTGCTGAAACGTGGCAACACTGAACACATTGCAGCTTCCAGCAACTTGGTCTGTCTTACACTGTACCAGTCTCCCTTAGCACTGACCAAAGCAGGGAACAGTTACAGAGCTCCATTCTGACTTGGCAAGACAGAGTCACGTCTTTTCCATTATCTATGCCTCAGTGGACTGTGTAACTCTCTTGTTTATTTGCCTTGAAATTCAGTGATCTGCCATCTGAATGGCTTCATTGTTATTTAGTCAGGTTGGTATGGATGCCAAAAAATGGTGGTGGGTGGTGGCTCTTAGGGTTGCAGGTGAGTTATAGATATGAGCAGTGTGCCAGAAGGACATGACTGAGCAGGGCATGGGACAGCCAGCATTCCCAAAGGAATTCTATGCACTGCAGCATGAAGTTGTCTGCACTCTGTTGTGGGCGCTTCAGCTTGTCCCCTCATGGGATACCCAATCCGAAACAGGATAAATATATCTGATGGGATTCCTCACTTACACAAGTGAGTGCTAACATATGCCCATATGATCAGGATTTATACTGTATGTCTTTGTGGGCATAGTATCATTTTCTCACCTTAAAAAGGTGTGTTGAGGGGATTAATTACATCTAGGGAACAAATACTGTGGAACTAAAATTAAAGACTTATATCAAAATAATATCTGATGTGTTGTACTCAAAATGTTTTGGTAACTCTAATCTAGCTGTAGGAGAAGTATTTATCCAAGAAGATTGTGGTCTAATTTTTTACTATGCATAAGTTACATTTTCAAGTTTCCTCCTCCTAAGGCCGCAAACATTTATGCTGACATTTTTCTTGTTGTGCACCTACTTCAGGTGACAATAATTCCACTTTACTTCTGTCAGGGTTAGTTTTTCTTCTTTTTTTCATTTTTTCCTTTGGTGAATGGATTTTATCTTTTCTGATAATGTGGAAAATGCTAATCTCTCCTTTTCATTTTGATCTGTGGTGTGAATTTCAGAATCATTCTTCCGAATTTTCAGTGCTTTTTTTCACTGTTTTACATTTAGTGCATGTCTAACTTGCAGACAGTGAATTTTCGCTCGGTGTTTTGCTCTGTTGTAACTTCACTAATTTCACAGGTGACTTAGCATGGCTCTTAGTCCCCTCCCTCCTCCCTTCTACAAAGATGCCGGGAGAGATGTTCGGGGTCAGGCGTCTCTCCGCCACCTTTGAGAACGGCTCTGCGGGCTCGTCCCTCTGTCCCAGCGGAGCCGGGGCCCGTGCCGCCCCGGCAGGGCTATGCTGGGCTGGGCAGGGCAGGGAAGGAGGCCCTCTCGCCCCCCGCAGTCCCGGCTGCCCGCAGCAGGTGGCCCCGGCGCTCCGGGGCTGCGCTGGACCCGCGGGCGGAGCGCGGGGAGCGGCGGGTGCGGGCGGCGCGGCCGCGGTGAGAGCCGGTGCACGGGCGCTGCCGGGGGACGGGCCCCGCGGGAGGGGTGCAGAGGAGCGGGGGGGTCAGGCCGGTGTGGGGCAGCAGCGGCAGGGACGGATGGCCAGCGGAGTGGGCGCGGGGCTGAGGAGAGGAAAGGGAGCCTGCCCGATGGAGAGGGAGCGAAAGGTTCTCTAAGACCTCTCCTGACCCGCTTAGGGAAGAGGCGGCGTTGTCCTGCAAAGGTGCCGCCTTTCCCCAGCAGCTTTTCCCGGCGGGGCGGCGTTGTCTGCCCCCGCAGCTCTGGGGTCTCCGCGTCCCCTCGGAGAAGCGAGGAGCAGAGCGGGAGCGGGCGGCGGAAGATGCTGTGCCTCCCGATAGCCTTCCAGATGTTGCTCTTGCTGGTGCTGTGCAGCCAGGGCACAGAGAGGTGCCCTTCAGCCTTCTGCGAGTGCTCCGACTGGGAGGACTACAAAATCACTTGCAGGGACATCCACTTTATTCCCAGCCTTCCGGAGGACACCCAGACCCTGTGAGTACCTTGGGATGGTTTAGGGGAGGCACTACCCAGTTTTGAGCATTCGTACTTTTCAGGCAGGAGAAGTTCTGAGCTTATGACCTGTGAGATGAGGAAGTTGTGAGCAGGGGAGTGCTGCAATTTACTTGGGCCCTACAGCACAGCGGGAGCGGCAGTGTGCGGACTGTGTGTGTGACAGGAAGAGGTAGAAAACTCAGCCCTTATAGAACTGTGAAGAGATGATTGCCCACTGGGTCTTAAGAGTTCTGTGTAAAATATAGGAAAATTAGTAACTGGGCTTTTAATGGGCAAACTGAGTGGAAGGCTGGATTCTGTGTGGAAAGTGCCTAGAGGGTGAGGTGTAAGAGAAGTAGATCAAGCACAATTTTGTAATTAAAAAAATAATAGGAATTGGATATGCCACCTCACAAAGAATTCCACAAAATCTTCTATGCATTTTCAGCTTCTTTGTCAGAGCCAGAAAAAAAAAAAATCCATGGGAATTGAGAATCCCAATACACTGTCTTGGAGACGAAGTACTTCAGATAAACAAAAGTGTGGAGTGTGGGATAAAGCAGCAAATTTGGAGCTTGCCAAAGTCATACAGTAATTCAGGTACCTAAGCCTAAGTGGTACCATTACAGGCACAGTAAAAAATTTTGTCTGTGTTCCTGCTGCCAGTCCAGATGAGTATCTTGTGTCTTGTCTGTCAGATAAATACTGCAGGGAAACTTAAATGGCACCAGTCACCTAAAACTAAGATGAATCATTCCTGGCTTTTACTTTGCTTATGAAGTACAAACTGTTTCTAGTCTCCAAGAGAAGGTTTCTGATAAAGTAAACAAACTCAGTTGATTTAGTTGCAAGATAAAACAGTAACAGGTTGATTGGTTTATGTCTTTATAATGATTCTCAGTATATTTTGGAAAATATGAACCATTAAGTAATTTGAACTTCTCAAGATTCTTTAACACCTGAAAGTAAAGGCTTAGCAAATTGATCACTAAAAGAAAGAAAAAATATTTATGTTATTTTCATTATTTTTACATGCCTTTATTTTTTTGATGATTAGACTGCAGTATTTCAGTTAATAAGGTTTTAAATTATACAGGTTTTCATTTGGTTATTATACTTTTATATACACAGTTTATTTAAGTTGAAATTGCAGTAATGTTATAGTATGTAACAAGTAGTATGTTCTTTGAAATCTACCATGACAAGTTAGAAAATAAAGCAGTTTCAGTTTATAGGAGAAATATGCCTTTGTACGGGCATTTAAAATAGTTAATAGAAACAATGAGATCACATAATGAAATTGGATACTTTTCTTGAAAAAATGCTGGTATGATGGCTGGGAAGTACCTCTCTACGTACAGCTTCACAAATAAGCACTTTGGCCACTGGAGTTCTAGTGTTTTAAACACCTGTATTAATGAGGGCTCTAAGATCACTATTTTTAAAAGATAAAAATAATCACTGAAGATCTTATTTCCATGGGAAAATAATTAAGAAAAACACTGAGAAATATTTTTCTGTTTATTTTGGGTGGAATTAATCATCTGTACCAACTAGAGTGACCCTTGCAAACTTCTCAAGACATGTACTCCCTCCCATAGACAAGAAAATATTCCAGGTAATGACAATTGTGATTTTATAGTGTATGGTAGAAAAGGTAGAACATGTGCTGTATAATCTTTTATTTGAAAATAAATGGGAAAATTATTTGAGGAAATAGGGAAAACAGAGTTTTTTGCTCACACAAAAAAGCCCTGAATGAACAACCAACCAACCACAACCTAAACAAAAAACCAGCAACTAAACCAAACAAAAAAACCTAACAAAAATATCCCACAACATTTTTTTACTTTAGTTTTCAGTGTTCTCTCTGGATAAAGTGTGTATATTTATTTACCTTCTATATTATTACTTGAACTCCGGTGGACTAAATCTGATTCTGTAGTCCCTTGCTCTCAGCAAATGACCTCATCTTTCTTTCCCTCCGTATGTTAAATGGGACTCATAACAGTCACTTATATGTGTCTGTTGTTGAGAGTGCTTTCAGGTGCTTCAGATTGGATTACTTGCATGTGGCAGATAACATAGCACACAGAGTTTTTCTAAGAAATTGCAAAGAATGTTCCCCTGATTCCATCATGCTTTGCATCCTTCTGCCTTACAAGTGGCAACAGTTCTGAATTAAAGACAAAAGATTCCAAAATAAGTTTCTGCCAACCTTAGAACAAATGAACACTTCTTTGAGGTGAAGTATGTAGCTGTATATATCTGCACATTGTGTATTGAAACTCTACAATTTTCCCCAATTCCAGCAACTTTGTTACATTAGGCAAAGTAATTCTGCTTGGTGGTGGTAATATGTGAACCTCAAGATTGCCAATTTTAAAACTTTCCTATGTGGCTATTCAGTTTTGTAGGGTTGTAGAACTAAGAGGCTGGTCAGACTAAGAACACTTTGCCAGCTTTTGGAGATGATGAGCTCTTTTCAGTCCACAGGATCTTGAAACTCCAATTAAAATTTCATTCTGACGAACAATCGGGACTGTTCTCATTTCTTTACCCTACTTTAAGAGAATGGGCTAAGCCTTTTTTTAACAAGCTATGCTTATAAAAAATTCCAGAATGCCTGAATTCACAGATATTGATCTTGGAGATGTCCTTTTTTCAATACAAGTTTGGTTTTTTTAAAAATTTCCATTCCTGGGGAATAAACAAATTAAGGAGACAGAAAAAGTTTTGTGTATTATAGGTAGTTCTTGTCTTGTTGCCTGAAGTTAAGGGTTATATAATCCCTACATAATATACTCATATCATACTATGGCAGGAAAGCAGTTCTAAGTGGTATTGAAATACAGTACTAAAAAATATGAAATTATATATCAATAATTTTGTTGCATCTATAGTATATTTTATACTTCTCTCTGCACAGCTGACACCTTGACTTGGTCTGTTGCTATTTTACCCCTGCCAGGTCCTCCTCCTTTGCTTCTACCTTTGCCTACCCTTGACTCCAGTACTCCTTCATGCTGTCACAGGGGCACTACATGCAACGGTACTGAGGAGATCTCTGTCCCAACCCTTGGCTGGTAGTGATTTTCTCTTTCACCAGCAAAGTGCTGGAGCAGAGCAGCAATTGGTGCTCTAACCTCCTCTCTGTTTGGTGGAATATACCAAGGGAGATTCTAGTCTTTCAGTTCAAGCAGATCCACTAGGAAGGGAGGGTTAATGACTGCAAATAATTACTTACACTTACAGATTACCAAAATCTCAAGATACAATCATCATAATGCTTGAATTATTGTAATACCCTTCTTGGCATCATTATGATGACATATTCAGATGGTATCACTATCCCAAATTCATCTCAATGCAGTTCCCAATGCTTTTCATTTTATGAGTGTATTATTAGTTGCTTTTTATTATTTTTCTTTTGGCAATAAAACTAATAAAATTTTGCTTCTTGTTCATTTGTGCACTACATCTCCTGCATTCACTTACTAAAATAATTTCTGCTCTTTTCCCTTTCTCTCTCCTTTTCCTTTTCAGAGAGGATGTTAATAAGTTTTCTGTCCTGTACCCAGGTGCTCTTTTCACATCAGTTTAATCGAATCTGATTGAAATTGAACAAGAGGGAATTTGGAAGGGACAGTGGAACTGGCATATAAATAGGCACAAAACCAGTACAGTCTTTGAAAATATGCTCTTTACATTAGGTATTAAGCTACAGTTCTGCATCTGCTCCAGGATATTGGCCATAGGTAAGATACTGCTTTTGAGCTCAGCTTTCAGGGACAAAAACCCCTGACATATGTCATGTTTACTATGCTGGTAGGGGTGAGCATGGGGATACCAGGATAACAAGATGTATTGAAAGAGCTGGTCTGTTTAGTTCCCCATGTTGTTGTCAACTTTTGATAAAGGACATATGGAAACTGTGTAATATCTTCTATGTATTTACAATGTAATACATTGTAATACATTACAATGATATTTAGAAGTAGCAATTATATGTCAAATATTCATAAATTCTTATTGATAAAAATGGGAGTTTTTTTAACTGGAGAGCAAAATACTTAGGGACTTAACTGTTTTACCTGTAATAACTGCATCACTGGCATCCACATTTTTTATATCTGTGTGTCGTGGTTTTGCCCTGGCTCAATTTACTTTTATACTCCCACATATAATTATTATCAGTTGAGAGAAGGTTTATGCAGACAAAAAGAGACTGAATTAAAAAAAAGTATGAATAAGTATGATAAGTACTTTAAAGCATTTTGATTTACAGAAGCTATAAGTAGAACTGAAGGAGATGGTGCCTCTAATTTATATTCAAAATAAATTAAACTGATTTAGAATATTTCCCCAAACCTAAGTCCTAGGAATTTTCTGAAATTCAGAGATATTCTGACTTCAGGTAATTCTAATAATTATCTTTTTATAGACTTCATTGCTTCAGAATTAAATATGGATCCTCATAAATACATCTTCATAAACAGCCTTGCAACATAAGCACATAATTATTATCCTTATTTTAATGATGAAGTACTGAGAGTCTAAAAGAACAGGAAAAACACTGACATGGTTAGAAAGGTGAAGGAAGCTAATAGGGTATCCTTCAGAAAATGGAAGTCATGCCCAGAAATGGAAATTTTTGGAAAATTGAAGTAACACAGTAAAAAAATATTTTGAAGAGAAACTTGTAATATCATGAAAACTCAGTATAACCTTTAAAACACATCAAATAGTAAGCCTGAAAAACTTTTACCAAATTAAAGTGTCAGTATGAAGTTTGTTTGAAACAAACTGAAAAATTGAATAGATTTAAATAGTCTGAGGCAAATAATACTTATATAAGAGTTCCAAAGGCAAAAAATTGCTGCATTGCCTACTGTAGTATGTAACTCACCATTTAATTCAGCCATGGCGATGAAAGAATGGAAGGTCACAGGAAAAGCATAATTCTTTTTAAAAAGTGTTTTAGAAAATACCTTAAGAAC